TGTCAAAGCCAGGGCACAGGACCTGCAGGCAGCTCTGCCAGCCCACTTTGGTTGCCCAAGGTCCCCTTCTGTGCCCGGGCTCCCCACGGGCGCTGCCATGCTGCTGCTTCATCCTGACCCTAGGGGTCCATACGCTGGGGGTGAGGTGTGACCTGGTGGGGCCAGCCTGGCCCTGCCTGTCCCCCACCAGCACTGGCAGAGGATGTTGCGTGTAGTTTGGGTCTCGCCCCTGGCTGGGGACGCGTGACAGTGCTGGGATGGCTGTGGGGAAGGCAGAGGTGACAGCAGGGAGACAGCTCCTGACAACGTGGGGAAATCCCCCCGTAGTGGGCATAGCATCTCACTGTGATGCCACACAGATGGCACCCGCTGGAAGATGGGTCCTGGCAGGAGGAGCACGGTGGGTCTGGCAGCCGAGCTGTGCTGCTGGCCAAACCCTGCCTGCCGAAGCCACTGGAGCTGCATGACCTGGAGCCAGCCAAGCGACACCCCGTGATGTGCAGCATGGCCAGAGTGAAGGGGTGGCCGGAGGGAGATGTTTGCCCAGAAGCGGGCGTGGAGGATGGTGCCCCATTTCAGCCTGGCAGCTCGGCCAAGTCTCCAAGTGATGGAGGGCACGGAGAAGCACCTGGCAACATTGGAGGAGTAGCTCAGGGAGGCTACAGCTTCTCAGGAGACCTGCAGACCCCCAGTGCGGTCCATCCACGGCCATCCTCGCTGCTGGGTTCCATCCTGGAGGACGCTGCCACTCCCAGTGGGCTTCAGAAGGTGCCGCAGGGACGGAGGGGTGAAAGTCTAACCAGCTCCTCTGTTTACTTCCTTCTCCAGGATTATATCTTCTACCTGGAGCCGGACAAGCTGGAGTCGGGCAAGGGGAAGTGTTCCTATGACCCCAAAGTAGACACTGTCTCTGCATTAATAAGTGAGTCCTGTAGCTCCCCAGGGCTGGCACTGCCTGCATTGGGCAGAGGGAACACGCAGGCAAGATGGGACAGCTGCTCTCACCATCCTCCTGCGTTGCCCCAAAATCCCCAAGGAGTCAGGCTCCTGCCCCTGCCACTCCTGCCTGCCCCAGCTGTGAGTGGCCGGGGACCCGGGATGCCCAGTCCTTGGTCACCCAGCCCAGTGAGGGTGGGGGTCCTGGGTACAGACCAGTGCCAACCTCTCAAGCTCTCTGGGATGGCCACAGGCAGTGGCTCTTGGTTGCCTGGTGGCTACTGGCCAGTGCTGGGGCTGGATGGAGCCCGGGGCAGTGGGAAAAGGTGGGTGGCCGGGACTAGGTGGGGGTCCCCAGCTGATCTCTGCCCTCTGCAGATGAAGAGCTTTACGCTGGTGTCTACATCGACTTCATGGGCACGGACGCAGCCATCTTCCGCACCATGGGCAAGCAGACAGCCATGAGAACAGACCAGTACAATTCACGCTGGCTCAACGGTGAGTTCAGGTGTCATTGGCCCAGGTTCTCTGGGGACCCCATGGCTCCAGCCCTAGCGATGAGACATGTCATGTCATACTGCATCTTTGTCCCAGGACAGAGAGAGTTGCCAGCATGGGCAGGCGGGTGGGTGGTGGGTGGGTGAATGAGTGATGGTTGACAGTTGATGGATGGGTGGACAGATAATGGATTAACAGATGATGATGGATGGATGAATGGGTGATGGATGGGTGGATGGATGGATGAGGGGTGGGTGAATGGATGGATGGGTGGATGGATGGATGGATAGAAGGATGGATGATGTATAGATGGATGGGTGGATGGATGGATGGATGGATGGAAATCTAGGCAGAAGAGCAGAGGGATAGCAGTGTTGGGTATAGTTACAGATGTGCTGGGGGCTTCACTGGGCAGCAGGAGAAGCCAACTGTCGAGAGATGGGGCTGGCTCTGCTGGAGTCTGCATGGGTTTCTGCAGGGCTGAGATGTCAACCATGTCGCCTGCAGTCAGTGACCCCGAGCGCTCATCCTGCCCCCTCGGAGCACCCCTGCCCATGGGGCAGCAGCTGAGTAAACAGAGCAGAGCAGATGGGCTGGTCCTGCCGTGTCGGGAAGCCGGCGGGGTAGTAACTCGAAGAGGGGGAGCTGTCAGCACAGGCTGGGCACCGGCTGATGGATGGTGGGGAGAAGTTTCCTGAGAAGCTCCCAAGCTGTGTGGTTCCTCCCTGGGGAGGAATACCGGTTCCCACCACCCTGCTTACAGAGCTGCTGGAGCCTTCCACCCTGCTCCCAGGGACCTCACGGATGCTCCAATTCCCTCTCGGAGGCCCAATGACCACCAGAGAGATGCGGTTCCTCAGCCCACCTCTTCAGCTCCAGTCCAGATCCAGCTCTCACCTGTGACCACGGCAGTGCTTTTCCAGGAGTGGGGTGATGCTGGAGGAGAGGAGGGTTCAGCATCCCACTGCAGGATGGGGCAGGGGTGCCACTGGACTGACCGTGCCGTGCCATGCCGTTCCAGACCCGGCCTTTGTCCGCGCCCAGCTCATCCCTGACAGCAGCGAGAGGAACGATGACAAGCTCTACTTCTTTTTCCGAGAGAAGTCAGCTGATGCCCCGCTGAGCCCTGGGGTCTACTCCCGCATCGGGCGCATCTGCCTGGTAGGTGGAGTGGTGGGCGGGCTGGGGGCAGGCAGGAGGGCCAGCGGGGCTGAGCGTGGGGGTCCCTCTGTTGCAGAACGACGATGGGGGCCACTGCTGCCTCGTGAACAAGTGGAGCACCTTCCTGAAGGCCCGGCTCGTCTGCTCTGTGCCAGGACCCGACGGGATTGAAACACACTTCGACGAGCTCCGTGAGTGGGCGAGGGGGGGCGTGGGGGCCTTCTGCACAAAAAAACCTCTGGGGAGGTGACACCGTACCCTGTCTCATGGGGAGGGCTGGGGACCCCCTTGCTGCCCCCCACCTCTTAGCTCTCCCTGCTGTCCCAGTGTCCCTGGGTGCAAAGGGGGCTCCCTGCCCACTTCCCCCATGGTGACACCCCCATCTTTCTGTCCCAAGAGGATGTCTTCATCCAGCAGACTCAGGACACCAAGAACCCTGTTATCTACGCTGTGTTCTCTGCTTCGGGGTGAGTACTGACCCTCCTGGCACGCAGCAGCAGAGGGGGTCCTTGTCTGGGTGGGGGTCCCAGCGATGCTGCGGTGGCAGGTGGCACTATGCCAGAGGGTGGCAGCAGGTCCTTCCTCCCAGGTCGGGGTTCAAGGGATTCAAGGGCTCTGCCGTGTGCGTCTACTCCATGGCTGACATCCGCATGGTCTTCAACGGGCCCTTTGCACACAAGGAGGGACCCAACTACCAGTGGATGCCCTACACGGGCAAAATGACCGTAAGTACCCCCCTTGAACACACAGGGAGGTGAGCCGGTGCCTGGTGCGCAGCCAGCACGCTCTGACCCATGCCCGGATAGCGGGTCACTGAGCATGGGTGGCGTTTGTCCTGCAGTGCCCCGGGGGGACCTTCACCCCCTCCATGAAGTCGACCAAGGACTACCCCGACGAGGTGATCAACTTCATGCGCACTCACCCGCTG